GTGGACAGAGGTATGTTTTTCTGTGATACAATACATACAGTCAAAAAACCTTTTTAACATATTTTTATCTATTACCTTTTTGCTGTATGGATTTTTAAATTTAGGCTTCTGCCTTTAGTGTCTTGTATAGAAAGGCTTTCCTCTGAGCACCTGGGTGGTTCAGTCGTTAAGTCTGTGTTAGGCTCAGTCTTGTCCTGGGGTCCTGGGATCAGACTTCCTGCTCAGCAGAGGCTGCTTCGCCCTCTCCCTCTGCTATGTTCTCTGCCTCTCTCTCTCTTTCAAATAAAATGAATGAATGAATGAATGAATGAATGAATGAATGAATGAATAAATAAATAAATAAATAAATAAATAAAATCTTAAAAAAGAAAGAAAGAAAAAGAAAGGCCACCCTCAATTCAAAATTATTAAAATAGCCCTCTATTTTCCTTTCAACATTTCTCATAAAGTAAGCAAATCCCCAAATTGTTAGTAAGATTGCTTGGCAATTTATTTAGAAGAAATCCATATCAGAGGATCTGAGTTTAGTATGCTTTCACCTTGGTTTCAGTCCCAACAAGTTGATAACAATTTTATTGTCATATCCTCCTCCATTACAAGTCTTGACATCTGAATTTGTCATGTTCAAATCTAACTTTGCTTTTTAACAGATTCAGTTACCTTTGAAACTGTGCTTCATGTTTATGAATTGCAGAGAAACCCATGAACTGTGGAAAGACAGTCCTAGAGAATAATCTCAGAATACTCTCTAAATAGTTATCTCACATTTTAAATGATTTCTTAGGTGGACTCTTATTAATTTCCCACAAGAGATAAAATGTAATACAGAAAGTGCTTGTTGTATAGCTTTTCATTTTTTTTTTAAGATTTTATTTATTTATTCATGAGAGACATAGAGAGAGAAGCAGAGACACAGGCAGAGGGAGAAGCAGGCTCCATGCAGGGAGCCCGACGTGGGACTAGATCCCCAGTCTCCAGGATCAGGCCCTGGGCTGAAGGCAGGCGCTGAACCGCTGAGCCACCCAGGGATTCCCCATTTGTTGTATAGCTTATGTGTGTACCTGTGACACTTCATGGAGAAACTGGCTAAAATGTCAATCTCTCTAAAGCTCCACTAAGTTCTTTATCTGTTCTTATTATTGAGATTTATCATTCCCCAAATGAGATCTATGGGTTTGCAGGTGGAGTTGGCCATTAGAACTTTTTGTTTTGTTTCTTTCTGGTTCCACAGAGATGCTCTATTTCTATAGCCTTCCTCTTCTGCTCAAGGTGAACTACTACTGAGTAGCATGTGAGTTTAATTTCACTTACATTTCTTGTTATGTGTTTTTCTGATGAGAAACACGTAAGATTGTAAAGATAAGTGAGTATAAGCAGTATACGTAACTGGCAGAGGTTCTCAATTTTGTGCAAAAGAAGTATATATTCAAAGAGGTTCTTAATTTTGTGCAAAATAAGTATATATTCACAGAAAAATTAAAACCTGGAAAGTCTTAGCATTTGCAGTTGTTATTCCTGATTGATGGGATTGTGGACAATTTCATTTTCTTTATAATTTCTTTTGGTATTTCCAAAACTTTAACACAAACATATAGTACTTTTACTTTAGAGAATACTTACTCGGGTCTCTCCTTAAGTAAGGATAGAATCTGTGACTTGTTTTTTATTTAAAACATTTTTTTTTTAAGATTTCACTTATTTTACAGAGGGAGATGGCATGAGAACAAGTAGGCAGAGCCGAAGGCATAGGAGAGGGAGAAGCAGGCCCTCCGCCGAGCAGAGTGCTCAATGTGGGGCTCGATCCCAGGACCCCAGGATCATGACCTGAGCCAAAGGCAGATGCTCAACCACTGAACCTCCCAGGAGCCCCCGTTACTGGTTTTTAACCAATAAAATATGAGACAGGTGAAAAAAAAGAAAAAGAAAATAGTTCCTTGGGAAAAAAAACATAAGCCTCTTCCCTTTTGCTAAAACATATTGGAATTGCTATTATTTGTTACAATTATAACTTTATTTCTAAGTAAAAATAAAAATACAGCAACATATAAAAGATAATTATCAAGTCATTGCTTATTCTATAGCACTGTAGAGAATAAGGTGATGAAGAAAACCCCAGGACACGGGGACAGATAGAGTGCAGACTACTGAACAACAAATGGTGGGGAGACATTTAGAATCTGAGAATAGTTTCACATCCTTTTTGCTTCCTTCTATTTTTTTAAAATGAATATTTCTTAGAATGAGAATTCTTGAAAACCAAAAGATTTCTGTATTTATTATTTAAAAGACTAAATTAACTCTTTGATTACTAGCACTGGTGATTATAATTTTACCATTTTAAGGAAATTTATTTATTGAAGTAGCACATATAGAATACTGCCCCAAAAGAGTCTCACATGAAGCCAGTTAAGACCTAAGAGAACTGGGGATCCATGGGTGGCGCAGCGGTTTGGCGCCTGCCTTTGGCCCAGGGCGCGATCCTGGAGACCCGGGATCGAATCCCACATCGGGCTCCCGGTGCTTGGAGTCTGCTTCTCCCTCTATCTATGTCTCTGCCTATGTCTCTCTCTCTCTCTGTGACTATCATAAAAAATAAAAAATTAAAAAAAAAAGACCTAAGAGAACTTTTTAAAAATTCAAATGTTATGTTTCATTTCTTGATCTTGGTGATAGTCATAGGGGTGTTTTCATTTTGTAAACATTCATCAAACCCTATACGTAAAATGTGTATACTTTTCTGTATGCATTACACTTCAATGAAAAAAAAACTCTGCTTGAAAAAAAAAATCTCACCACAGCTTCTGTCTTTCTTCAATCCATTGTGATAATTCTGGTGTTCAGTTCCCCTAAATGTTCCTTTTTATCCCTACAATTCAAGATGGGGCCAATCAGTGTCCTTTCTTGGTCTTCACTCTATGTTAGGAAGGAGGGAGGAGAACAGAAATCTAGGTGGTTGAGTTGGTATTAGTGTGTTAAACCCTGTATATAATTTAGAAATATAGACCTTGTGATTATAATCAGAACTCTGGTCTGCCCCCACGGGCTTCTACCTGCCTGTAACTTGGAGCAAAGCAAGATTGTTTTTAAAGTACAGTGATAGGGCTTATGTGTTTTAATATTTCCCTAGGCTTTTTTTTTTTTTTTTTTGTATTTGGCTATTTACAAATTTGACAATTCAGAGAACCAGGAATTTATTCCTCATTATCTCAATCCCTCCTCTTATCAGCTCTCTGTGTTATGGAAAGGAAAGCTGATATTTTTTCATATCCTCAAGTTAACATGCTGCTTTTCTTGGTAAAACATCAGATTCTTTTACCTGAAGGTAAGGAAAATGTTCCCCATGATCCCTCCACCGTTACGGAATCGTGTGAGAGAATGAGTCTTAAGACGTATACAAATTTAAAAAAACAGTATTTAGTCTTCATATTTACCTTGTTGTGTTAGCTTGAATAAACACAAGTGTGGAATATTTTGTTGGTGTAGTTTGCATTTGCTACTTCCCAGGAAAAATACATTTCATCATCTCTATCAATGAATGTTTTATTTAGGGACGCCTGGGTGGCTCAGCAGTTAAGTGTCTGCCTTCGGCTCAGGCCGTGATCCCAGGGTCTCAGGATCGAGTCCCACACTGGGCTCCCTGCATGGAGCCTGCTTCTCCCTCTGTCTGTGTCTCTGTCTCTCTCTGTGTCTCTCATGAATAAACAAATAAAATCTTTAAAAAAAATGTTTGGGACGTCTGGGTGGCTCAGCGATTTAGCACCTGCCTTTGGCTCAGGGCATGATCCTGGAGTCCTGGGATCGAGTCCCACGTCGGGCTCCCTGCATGGAGCCTGCTTTTCCCTCTGCCTGTGTCTCTGCCTCTCTGTCTCTTATGAATAAATAAATAAATCTTTTTAAAAAAAGTTTTATTTAAATATTTAAACACCAGAAATACTCGATGCAAGTATGTAAAAGTATACTCAAAATTTGAAATTACTCAAAAAGAATTATATTGATTCATATATATATGTATGAATATATATATACCATACATTTCTAGACTAAACATTAAACATTAGTTCTATAATTAAATGTTTAAGAGTGACTTCCTTCAGGGCACCTGGGTGGCTCATTTGGTTAAGTGTCTGCCTTCAATTCGGGTCATGATCCTGTGGTCCTGGGATCAGCCCTGCACTGGGATCCCTGCTCAGCTGGGAGCCTGCTTTTCCCCCTGCCTCTGCTGCTTCTCCCCTTGTTTTTGTGCTGTCAAATAAATAAATAAAATCTTTTTAAAAAACCCAGCAACTTCATTTCTGGCTTTTCTATACTTTGTATATCTTTCTAGTATCTGCACATCTAACCTTCCATGGATGAGGTCCAAAGAAAGTCTATGTACATGTAAATGCATTCCCCCCCCCAAATCATTAAGAATGCATGCCACAAATACTTTCAAAGAGCATCTGAAATTATTCAGTGCACATAAATCTTAAAGCTTTTAAGTATAAAAAGCCATGATAAAAAATAAAAAGACAAAAATTTACGAATTTATGGCAGACAGATTTACTGGAGTGCCTGGCTGGCTCAGTTGGTAGAGCATGCAACTCTTGATTTTGGGACTGTGAGTGTGAGCCCCACGTTGGGTGTAGAGATTACTTAAAAATAAAATCTTAAAAAAAATTACTGTTCTGTGGGTATAATGAATTTTTAGAAGACAGTAAGGAAAATACCAATACATGAACTGAAAAATAGATATGGGTCATAAACTGGCAATTCACAAAAAAAGAAATAGAAATGGCCAACGAATGTGTAAAAATATCACACTTCATTAGTAATTACAGTGCATGGAACACAACAATGGGATGCATATGGTTATGTAAAATCTACAAAAATCAAGAATTTTGAATGAACTGTCGCCTGATACCTAGGATGCTGAGAAATGAGCACTCTCATTTGCTGTCAATGTATGTAAAATGCTGGAAACTGTCAGGAAGGCAATATGACCATATGCCTCGGATTCATACCTTTGGCCAACGGAAGTAGCTTCTGAGATTCTCTTCTAAATAGTAATAGATTAATTCGAGGATGTATGTGTTGGTATTGTACACCACTGTGAAAAACAGAAAATAAAAACCACCTCAATGTCTGACAATCACAAATAAGGAAAACAGAGACTAAGTATTTAAGAAATTTTCCAATGCAGCAAATGAAATGCAAGGCTGAACTTAAACCTGGGTCTGTGTGCCTCCCGCACCCTTCCCTAAGCTCCTTTATAAAGCTGGTGGTTTTCCTGAGATTTTCTTGAAGTGTCTCTCAGATTCTGGTATCACGAGTTTGCTTCTGAGCTCAGTATTAGATGGTGGTTTTCAACCCTGCCTGAGGCCCAGCCTCAACACTCTGGGGTCCAAGTAAGATTCTGGAGCCTGGGGGAGTAACACTGCTACACAACAAAACCTCTGACACCCTCCATCCCAAGGTTGGGAGACTGGCACAAAAAACCTGGACCCAACATTGCATCAGCACGATGGCATATCTCATGAACGCTAATTGCACTTAGATATACAGATTGTCACCTTCTCCAGGAACCAATGCCCTGGCTGGCTGTCTTTTCTGTTTTATTTTCTCACTAAAGAGGTGGTGCTTCTAAAAGCCTCTACTGTAGTTCCTTTGCCAAACATTCTGACATGGAAGGACAATGGTTGAGATGTTTCTCTCAGCAGATAACTATGATCTCTAAATTAGATTTCTGACTATCTGCATCGGAGGCTGCAGCTAAACAAGCCAAACATCTCCCACACCCTGGTTCAATTGTCAACTAAACCTCATGACCCTAAATAGTGATTTTCAAAGAATGCACCATCACCTGAAGCTTGCTAAGATATGTGAATTTGGGATGCCCCACCCAGAATCCTCTGGGTCCTCTGGCTGAGGACGGGTGTGGGGGGTGGGAAGGTGCAGGAAGGGTGGGGCCCCGAAGTCTGTGTTTTAACAGGCCTTTCGAGGGATTCTGAGGAGCTCAAATAGGAACCGCTGCACAGAGCCTGCAGTCCGCATCCTTTCATATGCCCACTCATATAGTATGTCTTATAAATTGACCTATTGAGATAACTTTTTTAAAGTTGTATTTTACTGAGCCTCAACCAAGAGTCATGCAGAATCCTGGATGGAGGGAGGACATACAAGAAGCCAAGTTGAGATTCTTCTTATTCTTAGGTGATGGCAAGAGTAATAGTATGAAATGCAGTGAGTAGGTGAAGCCTTGTGAGACTGCAGTTCATGATTAATTTCCAAGGGAATGAGGAGGAGGAGGACGAAGAGAAACTCCGTGGTTAAACAGGACTGTAGAATCCTTTGCCCCAGGCTTAGGCCTGCTAGGATCCATCCTAGAGAGCTGGAGGTTTATTCAGTGTTTACGCACTTCTTCCTCAGCTTGTCATGCTGTAGACAAGTGGTTGATGTGTGCAGACTCTTTGAGAACTTGTCAGGGCATACTGACAGTATTTCTACAGAGTATGCATATTTGGGGTCGGAGTGCTTGCAATACTGGAGCCGAACCATGAAGGAGGGCATCCTGAGAGTGTTTGCCACGTGACTGAGAAAGGTGAGAATCACTGTCACTGTCTTCTACACTTTGTCCCCGCCACTGCTGCTCTTCCTGGACTGAGATGCCTCTGCTTTTGAGAGCTGAATATCTCTAGGTGCAATGAGTAAGGAGGGTTACTCTGGCTCTGCATGAAACCTAAGGCTCTGGAGAAAGGAAGGGAAGTAGGCAGAGGGAATCTGATCCCAGAGGAATCAGAGGGGTGAGGCTCCAGGGATGGGAAACCCTTTGCTTGTCTTTTCTACCAGGCCCTCTTCCTCTTTTCCTTGGGGTTCCCAAAGATGTATAGCTGCACGTGCTGGTCACTGAAACATTACGTAATGTAACATAGAGTGTGTGACAAATGTCTGCTACAATGCCTGGTGCATGATAGGCCTTTATTATTATTATTATTATTATTATTATTATTACTACTACTACTAGTGATTTATTATTAAAGTGGGTTTTTTCCTTCTTTCATCTATCTTCTTTAGTTAGCTGTCTGGCAAACTCCCACTCCAAAGGCTCGTTAGAAATAGTACTGCTTTCTCGTGGAAACCTTTTCCACCTCTTCCATCCCTCATACTAACTAGATAACATTGCTCACATCCTTCTTCCATGTGGACACTTATATATTATATTATGTTGTGTTGTGTTATGTCATTACATCATATTTTGTTGTGTGTCCACACTCCCCCCTCATTGCGAGCTCTTTAAATGACAGGGCCCAGGTTTTACACATGTTCAGATCTTCCCAGGAAGCACAGCACTGAGCACTTACTGAATGTGTGTTAAGTGAATATTGAAGGAACTGAGTCATGGAGAAAAAACCGAAAGTCTAAGAGCTACATGTGTTAGTGTGAGAATACTATCTATCAACACAGCCTGTCACCACATATCGTTGTGTCCCCAGGTTTCCAAACGCTACCTCTTTTTTTATTATCTTTCTTAAGTCTCACTGCCCTGCTTATTTCATGCGGATTTTTTGCCAGTTTCCCAGTGCATAATATTTTTTTTAAAAAAATCTTATTTATTTATTTATTTATTCATGGTAGACACAGAGGGAGGCAGAGACATAGGCAGAGGGAGAAGCAGACTCCCTTCTGGGAAGCCTGATACGCAGGACTCGATCCCAGGACCCTAGGATCACGCCCGGAGCCAAAGGTAGACACTCAACCACCTAGCTGCATAGGTGTCCCCACTGCACAATATCTTGAACTGCAATTTGCTCCAGTTCTTTCAGCTTTTGTCACATCTTCCATGGGGTGCATTTTTTTTATGTTAGCAATCTAAGACATTGTTAGCTAACATTTACTGAACCCTTTTCCCCTACTTTTCCCCTAAAAGTTACTTTAAAAAATGTTTTTTTATAATAAATTTATTTTTTATTGGTGTTCAATTTACCAACATACAGAATAACACCCAGTGCTCATGCCGTCAAGTGCCCCCCTCAGTGCCCGTCACCCATTCACCCCCACCCCCCGCCCTCCTCCCCTTCCACCACCCCTGGTTCATTTCCCAGAGTTAGGAGTCTTTATGTTCTGTCTCCCTTTCTGATATTTCCCACTCATTTCTTCTCCCTTCCCTTCTATTCCCTTTCACTATTACTTATATTCCCCAAATGAATGAGAACATACAATGTTTGTCCTTCTCCGATTGACTTACTTCACTCAGCATAATACCCTCCAGTTCCATCCACGTTGAAGCAAATGGTGGGTATTTGTTGTTTCTAATGGCTGAGTAATATTCCATTGTATACATAGACCACATCTTCTTTATCCATTCATCTTTCGATGGACACCGAGGCTCCTTCCACAGTTTGGCTATTGTGGACATGGCTGCTAGAAACATCGGGGCGCAGGTGTCCCGGCGTTTCATTGCATCTGAATCTTTGGGGTAAATCCCTAACAGTGCAATTGCTGGGTCGTAGGGCAGATCTATTTTTAACTCTTTGAAGAACCTCCACATAGTTTTCCAGAGTGGCTGCACCATTTCACATTCCCACCAACAGTGTTTTCTCCGCATCCTCTCCAACATTTGTGGTTTCCTGCCTTGTTAATTTTCCCCATTCTCACTAAAAAATGTTTTAATTGAAGTATAGTTCATATACAATATTATATCAGTTTCAGCTCTGCAACACAGTGATTCAACAATTGTATTTAATATGAAGTGCTCATCATGAAAACTACAGTTACCATTTGTCACCATACAAAGTTATCACATTATTGACTATATTCCCTATGTTTTTCATCCCTGTGACTTGTTCTATAAGTTTATACTTCCTAATCTTCTCTTATTTCATCTACCCCCTCTCCTCTGGCAACAACCAGGTTTTTTTCTGTGTTTATGAGTCTGTTTCTATTCCATTGCTTTTTGATTTGGGGGGGCGGTTTTTGTTTTTTTCAGATTCCACATATAAGTGAAATCATAAGGTATTTGGTTTTTCTCTGCCTGATTTATCTCATTTAGTGTAATACTCTCTAAGTCCATCCATGTTGTTGCAAATAGTAAGATTTCATTCTTTTTTAAGGCTGAGTTGTGTCTCTATAACACATCTTCTTTATCCACTCATCTATCAAAGAACACTTGGGTTGCTTCTGTGACTTGGCTACTGTAAATAATGCTGCAATGAAAACAGTCCATATATCTTTTCAACTTAGCATTTTCATTTTCTTTGAATAAATATCCAGAAATGGAATGGCTGGATCATATAGTAGTTATATTTGTAATTTTTTGAGGAACCTCCATACTATTTTCCATAGTGGCTGCACTAGTTTACATTCCCATTATTCACATATTTAACAAATATGTATTGAGTATCTACTGTTGTAGGTAATTACATAATAAAAGATAAAAATTTGTGCTATGTACCAGCTCTGGCCTGGATGCTGTCTACATTATCATCTTATCCAGTCGCATGTTGTAAGAATGAACTTTCCAAGTATCATGGCACACTTCAACCTAGAGAACTGGGAAAATTTTCTGATTTACACTAATCTCTTTTATCTTGAGTGGCAAAAGAGATAATGAAATTACCACTAACTATGCCATATCCCTTCACATATTATAAAATTCACTAAGTTCCTTTTCTGGCTCACAGCTCTTCATTGTTAACCATTGAGTAGGCACCCATGAAAACTGCATCCTAGCCCATGGGCTACACGCAGCTCTGAGTATTTACTGGGAGAGGTGACTAATCGTATTTTGCACCCAGGCAGCAGCTTCAATAAGACCATGAAAGCTCACGTGTGCCTGGATTCTTATAACTACTCTTATTTTTAGGATAACACCCACATGGCACACAACTTTGAAATACCTGACTTGGTTTGTAATCCATTTCTGAACCTGGGGACTACTGAAGAATAAGGAAGAGACACTTTATCTAATGTTCCTACTTAAATAGTATTTTAAGAAACACATGATGAAATATAGTTTTACTATGGTGAAAAAGACAACGTAAAATTTACCATCTTAGTCATTTTTAAGTATTCAGTTTGGCAGGGTTAAATATATTCATATTGTTATGAAAC